AAGTAGTGTAATTTTGAAGTCTGAAGACGCCAACGATGCTAATAATATTGTTCCAAGAGTTTCGGAAGTTTGCCAATAAATATTCAGAGAGTTCGGAAAACTTTCACACACCGCCTAGACACTTTATTTTCTGAAATCAACTTTGGCAAGATGTGCGGGTTCGATTCCTTTCCGAATTCGAAGTTTTGCTCGTAATCCAGCATTCTTATGACTCATTTCATGGTTACTTCCACCGATGGGTTTTAGAGGCACTACTCTCGAGATCCTCTCGAGATTGAACGAATGAAGAAGCAAAAAGAAGTGGGAAGGGGGAGTTCATGCAGAACCCGCGTTGAACGAATTCGCCAACGTTATTGACGTCATGGCTCTCTACCCTGACCTGTCCTACTTATGGGAGCCAGCCCATGTTCCACCCAGTAATTTTATTTCCCACAGAGGTTCGGTAACAACAAATCAACCCCGAGGATGGTGAGCCTGGGCGATACTCGACCTGAGATTAGATTCCCACACAAAAGCGGTGTCATTTGCCACTGCACCCCGTGTGCCTGTTTATGAACAAATAGTGGATGAAAGTAATTCAGAAGCAAGAAAATATGGAGAAGTCAAGGGCGATGTGAGTTTTTATATGGTCAGTTTTCCTTTGTGATGTGCGAGGTGCGAGAAATTGAACGAAAATTTCCACTTGCGTTCTATGTGAAAGAACGGGTATCTTAGAGAACTTACATAATCCATGAGAGAGGAGGTGGGATAAAAAAAACCAATGAGTGGGGTGGGACAAAAAAGCAAAGCCAATTTGTGAAGAATCCTAAGGATCGACTGGGTCGTAATCGAATGGATTCTTACAACATCGATGACAAGTGAGAATAGCACTGACTTTGTCAACACCGTCTTTTTGGTTTCCTCCGTCTTACCACTTCAACTTGTCATATCTGCCAAGTTGAAGATTTGTGGATCGCCCTCACTTATGAGTTGGCCCGTAGTTCCCCCACTTTCTAGAGAAGAAAATAATACAAAACACACGCATGTTGCAGGGGACACCATCCATCCGCAACAGCCTATACAACTGTGATTTCCCATCACTCATATTTTCCCTCTCAACCCTTTTCTCCTATTACCTTATCAATAGAATGAACTTCAGATGTTGAAAATTATAAATGTATGAACATGACCTTAGCCAAAGAGAAAGGAAGACTTGACCGATTGATAAGAACGGATGAGTAGTCATACAAACCTTTTCCGGAAGCCCAGAAAGCAGTGGTGTGTCAAAAAGGCCGGGTGCAATCGCCATGAATCGAATCCCATCATCGGCGAAATCTCTGGCTAGTGGAAGCGTCATTCCGACGATCGCACCTTTTGACGCCGAATATGCCGACTAAAAGGAAAATGCTTGAACCAACCAATTCAGTGCTACACGAAGAACAATATTGAACCTGGCCCGTCTGTCCATCGAATGCGGCCACAGAAGCCGTGCTTATTACGCGACACCGACCATCGCTGACCGGCCTCATCTTTCGAGTTTTCACCCATCAGTGCCACCCCATGCCGTATCACATTAAATGTTCCCATGACGTTGACCTAAAGTTCAAGACTAGCTCAGAAATTCACAGCAATACAGAATGAATTTTCAACCTCAATGGTCTTTCGTATTTTCTCTGGATCGGCCAATCTTCTTCTTAGTAACGCTGTACAATTTGAATGCCATTGCAACACCAGCACAATTAACCACAGCATCACACCGACCGAACTTGCCCTTCACTTCTTCAAAAGCTGCTTGAACCTCCGAATCGGTTGTGATCTATAAAACCACAAGGCAAATAAAGTTATACGAAGAGAGGTAAAACTTGAATCATGTTTAGTGCTCTGTAGGTAAAAACTTCTCCTAAATGCACAACTTTCGAAAGCTGAGTTCTTTACGATTTACCCATTCTGCTCTCGAACAATGCGAGCGAGATGTCATATCTGGCCCAGAGAGCGGAGTTCATGAGCCTGAGGGCCTGCGATCCGAATCGCGGCGATATCGTCATTGATAGGTGGAAGGAGGGGGATGACGCAGATAGAAAGCACAAATTTGTGAAGAAAAGCCAATAAAATATTCATTTCAAGTTCGGTCCATCTAATTTCTTGGCTAGCAATCAACTCAGTGAAAGCGAAACCATTGCCTTAGGCCGTAGGGAGAATGACGAGCATGTAAAGTTTATACAGTCAATGAGACTAGATCGCATCTGTAGGCCTAGGCTTTTATCAAGACGACAAACTTTTAGAATGTCTTTCCGCAACTCCGAACGCCAAAGTGCGGCAGCTGAACACAGTCTCAGATTAGGAGAGCTAGTAACGTATTGCTTCAACTTCGTATAATGTATGCGAGCGCATAACTTCGTATAATGAATGCTATACGATTAAATACCCTAAAATCCCATAGATAAGAGCGGTTTAATTTACCGGTGAAAAATGAATTGGAATGAAATTGAAATTGAATGCAGTCACCCCTCTAACTTGATGGATGGATAAATAAAAATCGGAGAAGAAGTTTAGAAGAAGCTCCGTCCCTCAACTCTAAACCCCGCCCACTTAATAAACAATTCATATAGAAAAATAGCGATTTTAACGGAATTTCTGCCGGAAATCTCTCTAGAAATGCCGGAATTTGATCTCTGGATAGAACTTGAAGAGCCCATTCGATCAGTAAAATTCCATAGATAAGAGCGGTTTAATTTACCGGTAAAAAATGATTTTGAAAAATATTTTTATTTTTATTTTATTTTTGAAAAAATATCTATGGACCGCTCTTATCTATGGGATTTTAGGGTAATAAGAAGACGTGCAAAATAGACCAACTGAGTTCTCGAATCTCGAAAAGTCCGTTTAAAAGACGAGATTTTTCAAACCAAACTTTCCAAAAATCGCCTATAACCATATCAGGGCCTTGGATATTACAAGTTTTCTCACAAGAACGTTTCTCCAGAGCTTTGGCAATTATTTGAAGTGAAATGATTAAAAAAAACTGCCCAAATTGAAGCTCTTATCAAGAAATTTGAGCGCAGGGCTAATTTTGGAGAAAAGAAGTCAAGGACCAATTGAGGCTCTTATTGATCAAACCCAGGATAGTTTTCTTGTCTCAGTAATTCGGATTGTCGCAGAACCGACCCAGAAGGCAAGTTATAAACACTACGAGCGCAAACACCTCACATTTCCAAAAAAAAAGGCCAGCAAAATCCCAAATATGTCCCACAGGAGAAATTTTTTCAAAAATGAACTTGAAAAATGTTCACGCTGCTCTTGGTAAAGAAGCTGGGAGCCCGTATATTCCTTGTCAGCGCAATCATCCTGTGACCGAAATCATTCTATAGAAAACGAATGCTGAAAGCCCAGAATCGCATTTGCCCACGAAAAAAATCCGTGATTCATGGAAAAAAGTTTGAAAAGACTTTCAAAAAAAAGGAAGATATGGAATCTCCAAAGATTCTTTTTCACAACACCACAGAGGTCGCATTCGGAAGAAATTACAGAGTTCAAAAGAAACTACGCGTTTGGGTCAAAATTGCTGAAATTTCTATTTATCACTCTACAACATGAATTTCCCAGATTTCAAAGTAATCCCCAGTCGGTTTCCGAGAATTGAAGCCTCTCAGGCCCCACATCGACCTAAAGTTCTAACAACTGTCAATTGTAAAGACGTTACGCCCTCTTGGAGAGTTCCCCTTCAAGCACCTCTTCCTCTCGTAAAAAGAAAACATGATGCCCGTCCACGCGAGAACCGCAATCTAATATTCACCTCGGAACACCACTGTATTCCGTGTGGCTGTATTTATAGCTGTGACAAAAAGAAAAGACCCATCCCCTTGGGCGGGCTCGAGCTTTTTTAAAGCAGCCAAACGCGATTGTGACCTTGCTCCTGCATGGAAATGGGCTTGATCTTCAAGGGCTCGTTTCAATTAAATCCTCTGCTCGTAGCAGGTTCCTGCCGATGCTATCCAACTTCATCTTTCCCAGAAAATTATAAGGCTTTATGCTGCAGAAATATCTACCTACGTTTGTTGGAGTGAACAGAACATTCTGTCCAAGTTCCTTTGCCACATCTGCACCTTTCGACGATGGCAAGTCGAGGATAGCGACGTTAGCCCCCGCCTTCACAAGAGTTTCCACGGTGCCACGACCAAGTCCTGAGGCGCCTCCGGTTACCACAGCAACCAATCCCTGAACGCAACTTACATTGTGCATGCGTACAAATGTTTATATTACCGCCCAATGCTCTAGAAGCGAACCTTTGTCGAACGGAGAACCGACGCCATTAGGAACCCTGAAACAGCAAAATTTCCCATGGCTACAGTGTACGACACGAAGAGGAGGGTAAATAAAGGAAATTCGCGTCGATATCAACAGAATCTTTTGAATCTCAGAACGTGACAGGGTAAACGAACGATGTGCGACAAGAAGCCCGAAAACCCGGAATGGTAAGTTTCATTATGCAGTGATACGTAACCGTCAAGGATACGAATTCACGCAGTTCCCATACCCTAAGGCTGGGCCTACATGTTTAAACTTAGGGCATCAGCGGTTTCGATATATCTGATAATAACAGTGTTGAATACACTTGGTTGCCGCGAAGAACTTGCTAGGTTTCCACATATTCATCACCATTGTACATTAATGCACAAAAAAGAAACAAAAACGAAGACATGAAGTTAGCAATAATCAACCAGAACAAGCTCAATGACAATGTACACACTGTGAGTTGTTGACTTTTATAAGTTAGTGAAATTTAATCCAAAAGAACCAACATAGCTTGTGAAGCATGCCCGGTTAAATTAAGACTTAATGCTACTATACTCGAATTCTGACACGACACATTTGAACCGTCTGTTGAATATAAATAGAGTGAATATTACCTAAACATAGGTTAGAAGTGCTAGTTGATAGTCGGAGCAAGCATGACTTGCTAATGAACTGATTTCAAAAGCTATGATACAAATGAGATGCATATTTAAATTAGGAGACTTCCATTCAGTCGGATTCTTCATCAGACGAGACATTTCGCTTCGATGGCCTCGATTTCCGCCGGCTAGATGAAGTTGATGACTGACTATCCTGAAATGTTCACGCATATAAATTCGGTAGGTATCGAGAAAATGAAAAAGCACAGTAATTATTATCTCAGTGTAGAGAGGAGAAATCTGTGAACACAATTGGGTAACGTTTTCAGCAAACTGACCTCGTTGTCCCTCTTGGAAGGAGTTCGATCTCGGGAATCGCCGTCATCCACAGCCGCTTTTTCCTTCTGATTACTACCAGATTGACTGCCACTATCACTTGTTCTTCCTTTCAGGAGAGCCATAGGATCTCCACCGGTGATCTTCATCCAAACTGCTTCGAGTAACATCGAATCATTGTAGATATCGCTTCCCTCGATATTGTACAACTGTAAAGGTTGATTTTACCCATGGCAACCGCGACAGAAATGCCAAAAAAACTGCAAAAAAACCTACCCTAGGCGTTTTCACAGAGCAGTTTCACATCACTTCCATTTCTTTCAATTGTCGCATACCTGACGAACATTAAATTCAGTTACATCCGAAGCCGAAGAGCGGAAAGCTACAACTGACTTACCGTCCTTTGTCAATCTTTTTCTTAATTCTTGCGAAATCCATAGGATTATGCACAATGTCGTAGTAATCTGGCAACTCCCGTTTTGTCGGCAGCTCGATAAACGGTACCGCAATTTCTCTACCATCATTCGTTTTGAAGCCGACGAGTATGTCGTACACCTTACAATACCATTTATAAAAAATGACATAATGCAGTACATAACGGAAATATCACAAAAGAAACTACCTTGTTCATCACTTCGATCACTTCTGGGCTGGCCTTCTTCCTTTTCTTGCCTTCTTCGTCATCCTCGTCTTCAGCCTTTCGCTTTCGCTTTTTCTTCTTCGCCTCATGTTCCTCTTCTTCCTGTATGCGAAAGAAAATGTGCGTGATACACATTTACACTGGACATGAGACAAAACAAAGAACAAACCGCGTCGTCTATCTGTTTCAGCCACTGGTCATCCGACATGAGATCCGTTGAATAGTCAACCTTGAATACCACAACAATTCCATAAACAACAGAGTAAAAGTTCGAAGCATAAAGTCAAAACACTTTGGCTCCAAAAACCGCACCTCACGTCTACGTCGTCTTCCTGTCGCATACGGATCCTCCTTGATAACTCCCTCACGCTGAGCCCGTTCTAATTCTGCAAACTCATCAGATGCCTTCAGAATATCGTGCGGAATCTCATTCTCTTCTAGGAGACGGGGTTTTCTGAAAAAATATCATAAAATCACAAAACCAATCGCCATTCTAATCTCAGTTCATTGGAATTTCAATATCACACCTATGAAGTTGTCCTGCCTCCTCCCTTCGTCGATCAATATCCATCGACTGGAATAGATTGAATTCTTCTTCAGATCTGGCTATCATTTGATTTATTGTTTCGTCGTCCGGAACTTCATCATCTTCATCATCCTCAGATTCAGCACTGAAATTGTCACTTACGGAAAATTGCAAATTTCAATACATTTCGTTAATATATCGAAAGCGAGAAATTCCACCGATCTCACCGAATGATCTGCTCCAGCATTTGCTTTCTTTCCGCTCCTGTGGATCGCTGATCGAATTTTCCAGCTTGGATAACTTTCTCGTCAACATTGAGCTTGTACTTGGCCGCTGCTAAGATTCGTTCCTCTACAGAATTCGTCGTGATCAAACGCAATACTCGAACTTCTCTCTTCTGACCGATACGATGAGCACGATCCTGAGCTTGCATATCCTGAAAATACAAGCGACTAGAAACATTGGTTGACAAATTAAGGAATTTTCAT